TTGGGGGGGGGGGGCACGTAATAAAGTGATTTGTACACTTTTTATATATTTTTATATACGAATGAAGCAAAAGTTATGCTTTTATGCAGTTGAGATACCCACCGTAAAGCGTGAGAGCGACTATTCGTTGGACAAATGACAAAGTTTTTGGTTCTCAGTAAAGATAACTATCCACAGAAAGTCGGATGGCTAGCTTGGCATTTTCTTGAATTTTATCTCTGAATTGGATTTAAATGTAAAAACAATATTAGCAACCGCATAGAACAGGTTTCTTGATATGCACGCCCTCATGAAATTACAGGTCCATACCAAGAAAAAGATTGATAAAAGTACTATATAAACTGTGAATTAAGAGCTCTAGCGGATGTGATATTGTGTGTTTTGGAAGTTCGTTGAAATTAAAGGTAAAAACAACTGAGAACCAACACCCTGTTTGCAAACAACAAAAGAAAATATACTGTCCTCGCCCAGAGTATTAAAACAATACTCAATCTTCCAAGTTTTGTACATATATTTAGTACAAATATGAACAAAGTTTGGACTGACTTGAAGGTTTCTGCACCGAATTCTACTCATCTACAAAAACACAATAAAAATTAATCCACATGGGATTAACCAATTTGTGATAGTGAGAGTTGTTACTTATTTCACAGTATTATGTGCAAAAAATATATATACATTTTCTACATTATATAATCGAATAGATATACACGAATAGATAAATACACAATTTTAATCACAGCAATAGTTTTCAAAATCTCATTTACTTTGTTTCCTCTGTACTACGGTTCAGTTATTTTCATTTAGACACTTTACCTGTTACTGTAAAAGATTCGTCAAATGGCTGTTTTATTTGGACCTCTGCCTCTTGTATGGTTCTTAATTCTAAGTAGTTACAGCATTAGTCGTAATGGCGTTGATCAATACCCTGAATATGAAGTCGATTATATGTACGTGTAGTTGATATATGTTATGGATAATTTATGTTACTGAGGTTATGTAGCGTAAAAAAACAACAACAAAAAAAACAGATCTATAGTTCCCTTCTTGCCTTTTCTGATGGGTAAACTTCGTAGTAGATAATTAAAATATTATTAAATATATAATGACGTATCTTACCCAAGGTACACTTACGAAAACAGACAGAACTTAACAAATGATGTGGGAAAAAACATAAGCACAATATGTATATAAACATTTTTGTATAATAGTTATCAATACGAAAAATAAAAATTCAAATGTAAAGTAATACATTAAATTCACTAAGTGGAAAACTTCTAAGAAAATATATGATAGTGAAAAACTTATGCAAAGAAAAGCATACGAACTTAGGTAGTTTTCTTGTTCCATGCCACTCTTGAGAAAAAAAAATGTGTTTGCGATTCCAACAGAAACACCCTTTGTTATTGACGGGAAGAGAATTCACACCTATAAATATGTAAATTTAGAAGAAATAACAGTTCATACTCCTACAATGTAAAGATGTGAGCTTAAACATAATGGAAGACATCTAAGTAACATGAATTAAAAAAAAAACAGTTGTAGTAGAAAGTTTTATTTCACATGTATATTATTACGATTTAGCTTACATTTGTATGAAGTATTTCACGTGTATATTATTACGATTTAGCTTACATTTGTATGAAGTATTTCACGTGTATATTATTACGATTTAGCTTACATTTGTATGAAGTATTTCACATGTATATTATTACGATTTAGCTTACATTTGTTTGAAGTATTTAACATGTATATTATTACGATTTAGCTTACATTTGTATGAAGTATTTAACATGTATATTATTATGATTTAGCTTACATTTGTATGAAGTATTTAACATGTATATTATTACGATTTATCTTACATTTGTATGAAGTATTTAACATGTATATTATTACAATTTAGCTTACATTTGTATGAAGTATTTAACATGTATATTATTATGATTTAGCTTACATTTGTTTGAAGTATTTAACATGTATATTATTACGATTTAGCTTACATTTGTTTGAAGTATTTAACATGTATATTATTACGATTTAGCTTACATTTGTATGAAGTATTTAACATGTATATTATTACAATTTAGCTTACATTTGTATGAAGTATTGCTTCTTTAACATACTGCTATTTAACATTTCATAATGTTACTTACTGTAGGTGTAAAATCAGTTTCTGACGAAGAGTATGAATTTTGAGTGTAGCTTTAGTACTTCACACCCATAAAAGTGTGAAATCACGCTTATTTCTTTTTAAGAATGTAAAAGTGCTCGTTTCAGTTACTTTTATAGGGTAATCCAGAACAGAAATAATAATGTGCAAAACATACTCACATCAATCGAAATAATGAATTTTTAATGAATAAGATGTTTATGGACTCACCTTTCTCCGAGGTATGCGTTGTTAAGTTTACCAAGCAATTTCAAAGAAAGTGGACTGATGTATTTCAAAACTCGCCGAGGCTTAAAATAATAATGAGGATGCTTGTTTACAACGTAGTGTATGAGCTATGTAATTGAAAATAAAACAATATGAAATGTTTATATTAAGTTATCATGGATTGCTGAAAAAAAGAAGTATAGCTGAAAACAAAAGACGATTAACATCGTGTCATGGAATCGTTCGATTGAAACTGTTATTAGAACTTTGATTTTTTTATGTGCATTGCATTGGTAATTTCAAATGTATGGCAGTTTCGTCATTAATAAGATTAGACGTCTAAAACATTTCTTTTAGTAAAGACACTCCAAAATATCAATAAGAGACAACAACAATTATTCACAAGTTCAAAAAGTGGGAACAAAAATAGTTTGTTTGTTTGTTTACCTGAATGACAACTTATGCACACAATGCTGAACGATCGAGTCAGAAAAGAAACCCTACTGTTCAGACATAGCAGTCTCTAATTTTGAACCGCTGAATAGAGGGAAGATAACTACTCGGCAGCTCTTAATACTTGATTTGGTAAATTTTAACTGAGTAGTAGGATTGTCTTTCGCTCTTGTACATAGCTTCCTCAGCTGAAAGTGCAAAGAGCATTGGTAGCATCACGTCTCGAACCCAAGACCCTCGGATCCAAGTCCTAGGCTGCGCTCGGACCACCTTTAGATAAATTATTAAAGGTTAAAATCGCTTTTCGAAGCTTACAGTATATTAAATAACTCATCCTATCTTGTTCTTCTGTCTTATTTTAACGATTTACTGTTACTACTTACGTATTGCTCGTTCTTTTTAAACATCTTTTTCTCCCACCACAGTCTTTTTGTTTTGTTAAAGTATACATGATGCTATTGTCAACACGTGAGTTTTGACTGCACAGTATAATGTTACGTCTGTTGGATTAATCCTCTTTAGTCAATATAAAACGTTATATTAATCAGTTTACATTCTTCAGTTTGACAATCGCGAAATGTTATAAAATTGCTAGCATTAGATGCGTTTGAAATAGTTTCTTTGTTAATAAGATAGTTAAAATAACCATTTTGTCAGATTAAAATTCTGTGAGTTTTAATTTTAAACTTTGAAGATTAAATTATGAAACAAGTAGTTACACACCTCGTAACCGACTTTAACATCTCATGTTACAGCTTTGAAACATTTATTGTGTAATGCTTGTTAATGTTCTATTTTTCTCCTTTTTTTTAGTTATTGTGAAGGTACAGAAACAAACAAGCCAACAGCAACAAAAGTTTTATTTGGATTCTGACCAATGTTGCTGATAAAAAAAAGTTATTTCTCTTAGATAATCTAACGGTATTCCAGTTATTTACTTAACCCCACCCATTGACTACTTAGAAATTTGACGCTGACAACACCACTGTTAATTTCAACATTGGCATGTAGAGTTCATATTATAGCGCTTACGCAGAAGTATATACGTATTAGAACAATCATAGCCTTACCTGTTTTTGT